CACACACACACACACACACACACACACACACACACACACCATCCAGGGGGAGAAACTACAGAAACCACGGGGTAAGGGAAACAGCGATCCATGTAAGATATGAAAATAACAATTTATAATTTATCAAGGGGTCATGAAAGAGGGGGTGGGGAGGGAGAGAAAAAAGAGGAACTGATACCAAGGGCTCGATAGAAAGTAAATGTCTAGAAAATAATGATGGCAGCATATGTATAAATGTGCTTGACACAATTGATGAATGGATTGTTATAAGAGCTGTAATAGCCCCCAATAAAGTGATCTTAAAAAAAATGAAAGGGGAAAAAAGGATGAAAAAATTAGGCTGTATTTCTTAATCAGGTGTTGGCTAAAAGCATCATACTTTGAAAAAAAAAGTTAATTTGCTTCGTTCCCATGCTCTGATTTGGTAAGACTATCAGCATCAGATTTTGAAGGTTATTTTTGTGATTTCTCTTGACAAATGTGGGAGCGCTAGGAATGGTTAAAATCTAGTCTACCCATCATTTTAAACACTTGAGGTCATTTTAAAGCCTAGCCTTGCACTTTATTTGAACCAGACCAGAGGCTCCCTGGTGATAGCCCCTGTCCTTTTTATCTTCTCAGATAGGGACAGTGTGGGAGTGCCGGGATAGAGCCCCACCCTAGCTGGGTTGGTTGTGGAGCTTAATTTGGCCAAGTTCACTTTAACCCTGAAGCAATGACTATTATAGATATTATATACTATTACATATAAATATGTATAATAAAGGATGTGTGATATATGTACTGCACCATGACTATTTTTTTCAGTTTTGAATGGTTGATTGGCATTTAATAATCTTTTCTTTGATCCATTTAATTAAGATTTGGGTTTAAATGAAAGTTTAGCCTTTACTGAGACTTTGGGAGAGAGAAGGGCCTAAATAGAAATTAAAGCTTACGTACGCACACACAGATGCATACACACAATCATTCCAACACTAGTTTTCAATGATTGTCTCTGATTGGACCATGCTGCGTCACATCGTCATCGCTGATCTAACTACTGTGTGTTGAGGCAATGATTGACTTGACTATGAACTTGGCGGAGGGATGGGTCATACTGCCAAAATGACATTAGCAGAAAGTAGAAGAGGGGTGGCTTCTTCAGGAAAATATGAAAATACATGTGTGCTTAACCTTCATTTGAATACCTGAAGGCATACAATTCTGGGGTTCCATATATTTTTTCAGGGATAGTAGCTAATGGTTATTGAGACCC